TGCAACTATCTCTTGACTCAGAGATATGCTACGTTCCGAGTCTATCGGGCATTCAAGTTTTCATGCCTTTAGATGGTGCTAAATAGAATAGTAGTGAAAGAAAGGTCAACAAAATCATTAATAAAGCTTTAGGTGTTGATCGATTTACTTCCGTATGCGCCACGTATTCTACTCTTATTCAGCATCGTAGTGGTACATGGAATGCGATATTGTCTAATCAGTGACATGATAGGGCCACTTAATGTACAAAATCAGTTTTTATTCTCCTAGAGGAATCTGGTACCGATTTCAACCTCGGAGGGCTGGAAAGGCGCGGTTGACTTGAGCGAACCTGATCTGCGAATAGATCCACGGACCGTGCGCACGGCTTGCGGCACCACTTGCTGCTGCCTCTTCTCTACGAAAGTATTGGTAAGATAATGAGACGTAGAATGACGATGTTAACGTGATAATGAAATCCACGCTGCTTTTCATTGATAGCTTATTCATGAAACTGGTAAGGTTGCAGTGGTATTAGCGCAGAAAAAAGAACTAGCCAGAAGTCGAACAGCTTCGATGGATTACTCTGTGATTTGAAGTTTTCTACTGGTTACAGGGCTGTTACACTTGGCGAGAGGGGTGCCCACCTTCAGTCCTGTGTGCGAATACCATATTTATTGGGCACAGAGGCGCCTGACCAAAGCCACGGGCAGCGACCCGAAAACGACCCAGACGACTGAGTTTCCCGAAATGCATGAAGATCTTATGCTTACATTTTGTTAACGGTTTCATTAGAAGGGTTTTTGACTGTGCCGCGGAGAGGGCTCGTAGCACTCATACCAGCCTTACCAGCCGAACGAGTGTGATATCGCACTCATTGGGAAGAGCACCTCATGGGGTATAACCTCCAATAATATCCATTCACGGGTAGTCTGAAGGGGCAAGTGGCGCTCCTGTCCACGAACAGCGGTCCGGGATCAAATCCTGGGTCGTGAGTCGCCCGGGCCAACCAAGCCTTCCATCCCTCCGGTTAATTGGTACCAGACTTGTCTGGGAGGATAAAAACACTGACTTGTACATCGGCTGGCCCCGCAAGTCATTGTATAGGCCACATCGCATTCAAACGCCACTACGAATTTGAAATGGAAAAAAATGCGTAGCACATCCACAAAGGTGTTGATCAACGCCAAATTCTTCACCCCGTTTTTCATGTATTCAGGGAACTAGTTTCTAACCTGCTGAGTAGTAAAATTCGAAGCATTCATAAAATGGAAGAAATTTTCATATTTAGTGATCATTTCATCAAAATTGTGGGGAGGTTTTCATACAATTTCCGTGGCAAAATGGAACGGACGATGAAGTTTATTGAAGACGAAAAAGTGCATTCAGAGATAATAAGAAGAAAATGAGGGGTTTGTATACTGATTGACTTGATCAAACCCTGATGAAGCCAGATCAAGACATAAGAATTAGCGCTTCAAGTATGCTACGCCTAATTGGCTGCTATAGACCACTTGTAGAGTTGGTGGCCCCGCAGCACTCTGGTATATTACCATTTTATGACGCTGGAGGCTAGCTTGAGGTGTTATGAGTTGTCATTCGTGTGTTGTAGCTCTTTCACCTCTAGGTAATCTCTTATTATTCCAGGATATCGCTCTAAATTGAAAGAAATTGCGGCTGAGGTGTCCACAGCCGAGGAAAAGTGAGGATTTTTGTAATATATTGCTTACCAGTTTCTCTATTAATTAATTATGTTGTCGTTGAAGGAAAAAGCGCATTTTGCCTGAACTGAAGAGGAAACGAGCTGAATATGAACAGATGGCCAAGAAAAATAGCGCGGAGTCATCTGAATTGAAAACAAGAGAAGTTGAAGTGAAAGAAGTACCGGGTGAGTGCAATGTTTGAAGCAAATTTTGCGCTGGTCATAATTTTAAGAAAAGTTGGGTCCATTCAAGCTGAAAATCGATGCTGTTTTACAGAGGACATGACGTGTTCGCCTCATTTCAGAATGGAGATAGCTCCTTTCTTAAGGGCAACAATCAGCGATCAAGCTCACTAGAAAAACTCTCGTGAGTTGGGGGGCAATTCAGGAGCGTATCTATTTTCCAAGGGAAGGGGACCAAAATCGATTTAAATTTTCTTAGTGTCTTCCAACACAGAATCGCCATACGAAAAGGTTTTTGTGTAGTATACAGGGTGACCAAAAAAGAGACACTTTGCCCATGGCGCACATCATCAAACTTTTCTCCGCAGAGGTGCCGCTGTTGATGAAAGATCACGGCAGAATAATCGTGGTGAGTGAGTGTCCGTCGTGTGAGGGTAGCAGCAGGCCCTCCTGCGACTGACGTCACGGGTCTGGTAATGAACGATCATCTTCCTGCATGTTGTAGCTCAAAAAAGATTTACTGTACATCGGTTCCTAAAGTGCACGTATTTCTCGAATCGGTTCACTGGAGACTGCTTCCTAGGGATAGTAGCTCTGAACATGCAGGACTCCTTCCGACTAGCGTTTCAAATACCGTCGTAATGGTCCATGATCCGTTGGATTCCAGTTGAGCTCGAACCCTGCGCAAAACCCCATGGCAAATTCTTGTGATATTCCTAGTGCAGAAAATCTATCACGTTTGATGGTAGAAATGGGATGTGCTCTTCAATATTAATTTGGGAGCAGTCGTAAATGGTGATTAATGCTGTCTGAAATGTGAAGTGTAGTGTTTCTTTTTTTTGGCCACCCTTGTATGTATCTGCGTAAAAGTAAGCATGTGCTGCAAAAAAGAAAACTATGTCGTTGAACACAAGTAAATTTGCAGAATTTTTGATCCTCTTGGAAAAGGGGTGTCCCCCAAGAGGCCTAACGCAGAAACGCAGACTCGGCAAAGGACGAGTCGTAGCGCATATTTTGGCGGTTAGCGTCAATTTAAACAGTGCGTACTGTACTACATCTCATATGCAGCAGCTCGGCTGCGACTCGTCTTTGCCGGACCTGCGTCTCTTCCTGTCGCCGTCGCGATGGGCCTCTTGGAGGACATTCTCTGGAAAGGGATAGGATACGGCTCCGTATAGTACTACTTCCGCGTCTCTGAATGCGTGTGAAGGCGATAGAGATTCACACATATGCACACCTTACACATCTCGCCTACGAATGTGTTGATGTCTGCGTCTTCCCCCTCTCCTGTACTCATCCCTTATAACGCGAACCAGATTGGTCCCCCGGCAACCACCGGGACCTCCTTACCTGCGTAAGCTTTACTCCTTCCAATGTGCTCCCATCCACTGGTGACATGGACACCTCGTGGAGGTGGCACGCATGCACAAAAAAGTGTCTTATATAGTAGAAGGCATTACCGTAATCGTGACATGACCTTAGAATGATATTAATTGGACCTCAGGTCTTTTGGCGGTTAGCTCCCCTCGCCCTTCTCCATCTTATCCTATTCCCTCTACTGCTCTCCAGCTGCTATTGCAGCATCATGTGGAATGAATGAGACCATGCTCAGTAGGTGTTTATATAGCCGTTGGGGTGTTATCACATTGATAGCACTGCAAAACATTGATTGCTAAAGTCATAGTTACTCGATTTTGTTAACGGTCTGTTTACTTCACGAGTTTCCCTACCACTTCATTTTGCGGACACACAGACATACATACATACATACATACACACACACACGAAACCG